CAAAACGAAAACAGTAAGATGATGCATCTTTGATTGTTATAAAGAGATTATTGACCTTTGGTACTACAAAGGAAGAGAGTATCCTCGAAGATAAGTTGAATCCACTCCAGATTCTCTTACCAATGCCACTCTTCCTGTCCGAGCCACCTTCAGCTCATAAAATTCGCCAAAATCAGGTTTTCTAAACGCAATCGCTATTGCATTTGTGAAGAGGTCAGAAAGAAGAGTTAGATTACCTCGCAGATTCCATAGACCTCTAACTGCGTTTGTAGTGCAGCCATTTTTCTGGTATCCCCCGTAACCTGCAAAACCGATGATTTTAATCAGCTATATAGATCTTATCTCAAGCTCGAAAGATCAGAAAGGGTCGAACTTTTTTGTTGTAAAGTTTAGGGAGATATGATATCAGCACCTCAAGAGTGATAGTATGATCAGAGACATCAATGGCTTTAGCACGGAAAACTTGAGCGATATCGAGAACATCTCTTCTTGCAACAGTAGGAGCAGCTACTTTGATGAGCATCAGTTCTCGCTCCGCAAATGGCATGTGGGTTATATTTTGGACCTAAAAAAACCAATGAAAGGCAAACATTATTAGACTTATAAATCGAACAACCCAAGTACTACAGTTTGGAGCCATTTGCTCACCTCATGAAGATCAATCAACTTCTGAAGCTGCCTAACCAATTTGTCTATATTTTCATCAGTTCCAGGGATAACTGTAGTGATCCGAGATAAACCCTCTTTCTCAGCATGGCCAACAGCTAGACTCTAGAGCAATAAAAACAATAACTTTCACATACTCTTGCGCGAAAAGAGGAGAGCATTATGCCTTCACATCGATAAAATTAAACGCAAGTGTGCGCGCATAATAACCTGGATGTTATAACCTCTCCTGGAGATAGCCCCGGTTATTAGATTGAGAACTCCGGGGACGTTGGTAACAAGTATAGATAACGTGTGTGAACGGAGTCCGTTTGACTGCAATAAGTTAAACAGTTTTAGCATTCATTTTGACCTCCAATAAACCAGGACTTACCGGATCAAAAAAGAAATTTTTTTGTAAAGCGAATGCGGTAACCGAGAAATGTATCTTACATCTTCATCGTAGACCACTCCCCAGTGAGCGTCAAGGACCGGTTTGAAATCATCATAGGGTTCCACTGGATAAACGTCACCCTAAAATAAAGTAATAACTGATCTTGATCAATCCACAGGTACATATGCAGACGAGAATAAAAGTAAGCTAATGTTTCCAGTACCCCTGGTGATGCATTGCCATTTCCAGTCAATGCTAGCTTTGTTTTCTCAGCAACAGTATTGTGAGATGATCCGTTTATAAGATGCGGGTACGATGCTGCTGTAAATCTCCAAAACGGAGCGGTTTCTCCCATCCTTTCCCTTCTCAGAGCAATCTAGAGTGATACAATAGTACAGAACAACGATTAGGAATGACAAAACTGATTCTTGAAACTATTCAGTGACTAAACACAGAAATTGACTACATGGAAAAATTACTGATTCAATATATGATTACAATTCAATTTACGAGTTTTCTGTAAGATGCTAACATGCCACTTAAAAGCCACACTGGGAGTTTCCTGAAATGTATCAAAGGATCTCGGATTCGAGTCTTCCAAGTGTGACAATATAGACAAAAAAATAAAATAAAATAAAATAGAGGTTCCAAGTGGCTAAGAGTATTAATACTTGTGAGTTCAACTGTTCAATAAAGATTATCAAGACAAAAACAAAATAAAGGCCACAAGTGGCTACAAGCAGAGGTTGTTGACAGTTAGGAAGGATGGAGCAAATAATAGTTGCTTTTAGAATCAAAAGATTACCTTCCCAGTTCTCGCAATTTCTTTTATTCCAAACTTCTCTAAGTTCTTCTTTAGTGCAACCATCTTTCCTGGGTCTCCAGTCACCTACAGAATGAAAAAAAAATGGGACTTATTAGAACCATCTTGACCATTTGATATGGGTACTTATAAACTGAGAAAAGGACTGACCTCGATTGTTAGAGTGTGCTCCGAGGTATCAACGATTTTTGCTCTAAAGATATCTACCAACCACATGATCTGTGTAGTACATGGAAACATCATAAGTATAACTCTCTCAAGAACTTATAAAACAGCTTCTATATCCTTGAGATTTTAATGGGAATCGAGCAATCATAAGAAGAAAAAGAAGAAAAATCCACTTTACTGTGACTCAGGGGAAGTTAATTAAAAGGAAGAAAGCATCTTTCTATCTATCCATATTCATACATATATCCTTGACATTTTAATGTGATTCGACTAATCATAAGAAGGAAGAAAATGCACTTTACTGTGACTCAATTAATCACAAGGCATAAAAGCCTCCTTTTCATCCATAACCTTTTTTCAATGTGACTAAAGTAATCATACTGAAAAAACAAACTTTGACCAATATCAATAACTAAGTTCGGAGTATAGCTCATTCTTGCAAGGTCAACTATTTTTTTTTACCTCTGAGCGGGTGGTTGGATCAGCGTTAAGTTTGATGAGCATTAACTCACGTTCTACATGTGACTCCTTGGAGAGATCCTCCACCTGAACAGACCATAATGAGTGCAAGATTAAACTCATGATTCATGAAACTATACATATCTCATGGCGCATGCTAAGCTAAAAGAAAAATGAAAGACAGCAGAGACTAAGGTTAATAGAAAACAAAATCAAAACCTTGATGACATTGACGAGTTTGTGAAGCTGTTCTACTACTTGTTGCAAGACTTTGTCAGTCCCAAGAACAACTATAGTAAACATAGCCTTGTCTTCGTTCAATCCCACAGCGAGGGACTCGATATTGTAACCTCTTCTAGCAAACACTCCAGCTATACGGTTTATTATACCGCTCTCATCACCTACAAACACCGAGATTGTATGCCTCCTTACTCTACAAAGGAAAGGAAAGAGAGTTTCAGTCAGAGAGACGCAGAACACATAATCAGAGCTGTATAACTGAAACCACCAAGAAAGAACTTGATGACCATATTAAAAAAAAAAAGCCTCGAGATGTTTACCAAATCATCTAAATCAGGTTCATCTGGAAACAAGTACTTCCACAAAGAGAGTAGCATAAGTATACAAAAAGGGACAAGACATGAGAAGAAAGGGAAGAAACCCAAGACTTCCTTAACTCAAGAAACCGCTAGAAACTTTCATACAGTTTGAAACTGAGTGATCCACACACACACACGAATCGATTACTAGAATCGTTTGAAGATTTTAGCGGTAAAGTGGTAATCAAATGAAGAAATTCTTTAGCAAAAGAGGAATCAGAATCTTCTTTGAGGTAGACCACATTTTCAATCCTGGCAAAAGGAAAAAGCTTAACTTATACTGAAACAGTATCTAACACTGGTAAT